TTAAAATAAGGTTGGTTCAGTTTTTTGCCTTAACGAAAGAAAAAAAGATTGATCCATCTACCCTCCTTTTCGTCCAATCCTGAGTTACCCTTTGAGAAATTTTAAAAGATTAGTTATAAAGTTTCATGATACTCAAATCAGAAGATTAAGCCCTTGTTTGATTCTTATTATTTTCAAAATATATTTCATCTCTCTGATTTTAAGTCACACATTCTATAATAAAATAATATTACATGCAAACTCAATTTTTTTTTTTTTAACCACACATTCTCCATCAAAATACTATTTCAAAATACATGTTGAACAAAAAAAGAGACTCAAACATACTCTAAATAAGTCAAACGTATTTAAAAAATATAGTTTTAAAAGTTGAGACATCATATAGCTAAGTTATTGATCACGTGTAATGAGTTATTTATATAAATTAGACTACCAATGCATGATTTTAACGACATCATTTATCTATGGGAGAATTGCAGTTAAAGTCTCAAACATTTCAAATTATTATAGATTATATTCAAACCTTTTATTTTTGTAGTTGGAGTCCCAAACATAACATTTTTATTGCAGCTAGAGGACATGTGGAAGAAATTCATCAATCCGATCGTCGGTTGACCAAAAATCACTATCTAACCAAACAATTATTTTATTTTTATTGTTTATTTAATTATTTTATATGGGATAATTTGGTCAAATCATTGAGTTTTGGTAAACTAATGGTTAAATGGATAGATTTAATCCACATGTCCTCCAGATTGAACTCGAGATGAAAGGTGTGGGATTTCAACTGCAACAATAAAATATTTGGGTATAGTCTACAATAATTTAAAAGGTTTGGGACCCCAATTTCAATTCATCCTTTATCTAATGTTATTGGTTTTTGGAGATAAATGTCCAATAGCATTCGTGGAGAACTACTATCCAGTGTTTACTTTTTCAAAAATCACATTCTTGATAATGTTAAGCCCTTGTTTGAGTCAAGGGATGGCAACAAGACGGATCGATCATTCTCATCCTCATTTCGTCAGGCATTTTTATTACTTTACCCCATCACCATCCTCATCCTCATACTAGAATGGGTCGAGACAGGTCCCATTTATCTCCCCATTTATTATTTATTTATTTTATGTCTTTAGT